AAGTCTCAGAAGGTTAAGAAATTGAGGTCTCTACTTTAGCTTTGGCTCCCTGATGAGAAGCTTCTCCACAAAATTATACAATTCAAAAGAGATGCTGAAAAATCAGTCACTAAGCCAACTAACACTGTTAAAAATAGGTCTTAGTGAGCACTTACTACACTTCACATACTACTCATTTCATCTGCATGATATCCCTACTCAATAAAGAGAACTAAGTCTATTTTGCAGGGGTAGCCAACAAGGCTGAGAGGGGTTACCCAGGCAGCACAGTGGATAAATGTCAGGCGCATGACTTTAATCCAGTTGTGAGACCCTAAAGTTTAGGATTTTTTTTTTAACTTCAAGTTGACTGCCACATAAATGGCAGTTTCCCCTTTTCTTCAGAGAACATAGTTCCTGAGAGCAGAGGCTTGGAGGTATTGGACAGAGAGCCTCCATGGGTATAATGGTGTATCAGTGCCCTACTGCTGTGTAACAAATTAGCACAAACTCAATTTAAAGCAGCGATTTTTAACCAGTGTGCCACAAGAATTTTAAAACATGCAATGACTGTTCATTTAGCCAGGGGCACTGACCTCTTTTCCCTTGGATTATCAAATATAAAAAAATGTCAACAGCCAACACAATAATGGCCGTCTGATGTGAATAAATCAAAATTGTACCTCTGTTTTGGTCAGATAGCAAAAATATATTTATTGATGTGTCACCAATTTTTAGTAATCGGTTTAAGTACATCTTGGGCATACAGTACATCTTTAGAATTCTGTCCATTACAGAGGGCTAGAAGGATATTTGACTCTTGAAGATCAATGAGTCTCAAATTGTACACACATGCCTGTCTATACGCCATGAGATAAAAAAAAAGGTTGAAAATCACTGATTTAAAGGAATATCGCTTTATTAGCTCATAACTCTGTACATCAAAAATCCAGACACTCTCCACTGTGTTCCCTGATCAGGTGGCATAAGACTGAAATCCAGGTATCAGCCAGGCTGGGCTCTTCCACAGACACCTGGGAAAGACCCTAATTCTGATTTCATTCGTGTTGCTGCCAGAACTTAGTTCCTTGTGATCGTTATACTGAGGTCCCATTTCCTTGCTGGTTGTCAGCTGAGGGCCACTTACAGCTTCTAAAAGTCACCTCCTTTCCTTGTCCTATGGCTCCCTCCATCCTCAGGCCAGCAACAGCGCATCAAATCCCTCTTGTGCTTACATCCCCCTGACTTCCTCTTCCACGGCTAGTCAGAGAAAACTCTTCTTTTTAATGGTTTCATATGATAGAGGTTCATTCAGGTAATCTCTGTATTTCAAGATCAACTAACTTGAGTATTTAATTACACCTGCAACATCCCTTTACAGCAGCATCTAGATTAGTGTTTGTTTGAATAACCAGAGGATAGAAATACTCTTGAAGATCAATGAGTCTCAAATTGTACACACATGCCTGTCTATACAGGGAACTTACGGACTGGTTTTGGTTTTTTTTTACCTCCAGAGTAAAACCCTGGGATCTGCTTTGTTCCCTTGCTACATTGTGGTTAGTGGCAAGCACTGACCCTAAGGAGAAATATTACCCAGAGGAGGGGCCAGGGTTCACTACCTCCTGGAAATTAATCCAAATTCTAACTTGAGAATTAGCCAATAAGACAAATGTCCACATTACTGAAGAAGATTGTTTTCTCATTGATCATGTCTTTGAGTGATTATTTTACATATTTGTTTGGTGTGTAGATATAATCTTATTCTCCTATTAGACCAGGAGATCCTTCAGGGAAAAAAATGTATCTTAAAAATCTTTGTATTCACATAAGTGCCTAGCACGGAGCCTGATATTCAGAAGATTCTCGGCACAAATTAGGTTGTAGGGAACATAGCTTATTACTTACTAGGTGCTCAGTGAATTTTATTTTCCTTTCCTTTTTTCTGGGTAAAATTAGAGAAGACTTCACTTCATCTTAAATAATAAAAACCTACATATATTGTCAGTACAATTATTCAAGGAATATTGTGGGTGCTTATGATTATAAAGGAGAGAGATGATGGTATAATAGCGTTCCCTTTACAGTGAATCTATAAGCATCTTTGGGATTTCTTAGTTTAAAGCTTTGCGAGGATAACTCAGCTCTTCATTTTAAATGTAGAAAAAATAGGACTTGATTTTCTTGTCAAGGGACTTAAATACTCAAATGAAAACAGGGACTTTTGCCCATTAAGACTATTAAGTAAGGTGGGGCACCATGTCCAAAAGGAACCCCTTGGATGACTAGAGAGGAGCACTGCTTAGAAGATGTGGCACATCCCATGGAAGCAACAAGTGCTGGTAAACAGAGAACTTAAGCTTGATCAGCCTACATAAAAAATATTTTATTGGCTATCAAAACATCTCAAAGCCCTCATGAATGGGATTAGTGCCCTCACAAAATAGGCTCCAGAGAGACCTCCTGTCCTGTTTTCCATGTGAGGACGCAATGAGAAGTCTCACAACGAGGGGGCCCCCGGAAGAGGATCCTCCCTGGATATCGCTGGCATCACCATCCTGGACTTCCAGCCCCCAGAACTGTGAGAGGTAAACTTCTGTTGTTTATAAGCTACCAAGTCTGTGGTATTTTGTTATAGCCGCCCAAATGCACTAAGAGAGAAAATGTAAGTAGATGTGTTTGCTGCTCTGCAGGGAGGTGAAAGTAAAGCAGCTTGTAATGTAAATTCCAACTCTGCTGATAACTAGCCACTAGGTTTTGGCCACAGAACTTAACACTGCAGGACATCAGTTTCTCCATCTGTAAAATGGGCACAATAATACTTAACCTTTTAAAATTATTCTATAGTTTGGAGATAATGTAAATAAGTCATGTGGCACAATAATACACTCAGTGGTAGCTACCATTATTATTATTGTAAATACCTCTCACTAATTCATAAAAGACACTTTTAAATGCAATATATACATGAATTTTTCATCTTTCCCAGTCCTGGGATTTTCATTCATATTCACTTAAAATTTCTCAAGCTTCCAAATCCATAAAAAAGATTATAAAGCAAACTTTTAAGTAGTTATGATTGTGCGTGTAAAGCATTTGTACAACAACATGTTCTCTGTACCATATGTTATGCTGTGTTGGAATGGAGACAGCTAAAGGACATTTATCGCAGAGTCTTTATGCCTTCTTTTGGTATTCATTGCTTGTGAAAGAATAATAATGGTCATCAGGACTACTGCATACATATTCCGCATAAAAGAAAAATCCAATTGATGTTTCAGAGCTCCTGGTTTTAGAATCTCTTTCTGCTTCAGCTGATATATAGTGTAAATCTAAAACTTATTTAAAAACCTGTCTGGGTAAGACAGCTTTTAATTAATCTTCTCTTGGTTTTTATACTATATGGTACCTGGAAGATGCAAGATCAATCACTGCCGTATTGTAATGTCGAGTTGTGAGACAGAAAGATAAATGAGCTATCAAGCTTAGCATTTTGATAGCTAAGTTAATTTAACTAGCTCCAGAACACACTCTAGATTGGTAGATAAAGTTGTGAGCTGGGGCACTGAATGTTATAACCGCAAATGTGGAATGTTATTAAGAAAACGGGAATGTGCTAGTTCCTATCTGTCCTTTATGGAAATTAAACCCAGGATTAGAGAGGTGTAACTGGGTGATGAGGTCATATTGCTAGTTCTGTCAATCCAATTAAGACAGCTTTATTAATTCAGACTTTTAATTGAGCACTGGGACAAGGTCTGAGCTGCCTTGCAGTTTCCCTCTGCAGTACGCATGAAGAAAAGCCTGGCCAAGCAAATTAAACACAATTTATGCCTAAGGACAGACCTTGAGTAGAGTTTGTTTCCTTATGGGACCTACAAGGGTTTTGTAGCCATAAATTGTATTTCAAATTGTGTTTTCTCAATTATAGGAATTTTGAACTGATTCTTGTCCCTGGGGGTAGGACACCCCATCCCTGGGATATCCATTTACACAATGATGTTTCAATCAGCAAAAGGAATAAAAATAAAACTTCTAGCCTGGCTCCTCACAATTACCAGTCTAAATAGTAATAAAACTTCAGACAAAAGAAAAATGCTGCAGAAGTCATTGGAGAAGTATTTGGATATGCTAATCACAGCTATTAAGAAATACCAACTTTGGAATGTCACATCAATTCAAATAAGCAACAGTAAATGGAGCAGTTTTGAAAAGGTCTCCCCCTCAGAAGATAATGGTATCAATTTGCTATAAGGTAGAAGAAATCTTTACCCAGCTCCTATCCTTACCCATCCCCAATCTAAGCTATACTAGACCACTTCCAATTTCTTTTCATTCATTTGTTCACTCACTCTTGAACAAACATGTATTAAACACCTATGACATATAGGCCAGCTCCTATGCTATATTGGTTATTAACAAGTCACAATTCCTGTCACCAAGAAGTCCCAGAGAAATGTATAGTTCATTAAAAATGGTGGGGGTGATGCTTAATTTTATGTGTGAGCTTGACTGGGCTATGGGAATTTGATTAGATATTCTGGACATGTCTGTGAGGGTGTTTCTGGGTGAGACTAACATTTGGATAGGTAGGCTGAGTAGAGCAGATTGTCCTCCCCAATGAGGGTGGGCCCCCTCTGTATGCCAGGGGAACACCTGTCTTCTGCCTTCATACTCAAGATTAGGACTGGGAATGTATGCCATTGGCTCTCCTAGCTTATCAGCTACAGATATTAGGACTTCTCAGCCTCCATAATTACATGAGCCAAATACTTTTAATGAATTAATGAATGAATATAATAAATGCATTATACATACACTGAGTGGCCAGATTATTATGACCGGCCAGGTTATTATGACCACCCCATCAGTATTTCATTGGGCCATCTTTTCCCTTCAATACTGCAGCGATTCTTCTTGGCATTGACTCCAGGAGATGTTGAAAGGTGATGCGAGGAGTCTGACACCATGCCTGATGAATAGCACTGACCAGCTCTGTGAGATTTGATGGTTGTGGAACCAGCTGTGCTTCCCTATTTATAATAGTCTGGCCCTCTAGCAACTTCAGTGGGAAATTATAGCTAATTTGCCTACAAATGTCAGGTGGTCATAATAATCTGGCCACTCAGTGTAATATGTAATAATAAATGTATATTATATATAAGGAATGTATATGTTCTGTATAAATTATATATGTAAATTAGTTATGATTCTCTGGAGAACTGTAGGAATTCAGAACCAGCCTCCCCAAAATGTGCCACATTGGCATGTGAGTTATTTTGAACTGAAGACCCTGCAGGATCACAAGACACTTCAACCTCTCTTTAATTTAAATTAGGGACCTTGCCCATAATAAGAGTTATCAACAGAAATAACAACTTATGACCTATCTATGGAGCAGGGAAAACTTCTAATTAATGAACACCTGCTTTTCTTATCATCCTGCAATGACCCTTTGAATTCCCAAAGGCATCTTACCCAATCCTTAGCTTGGAATGCCACATATACCTAATTTTAACTTTCTGCCGATGAATCTCTCATGTACTGGTATGTAGGGATCCTGTGCATACATATAAAATTAAATTTGGTTATTTTCTCTTGTTCATTTGTCTCTTGTAGATTTTTAATTATTATTTAGATCAGCCGAAAGGACCTGAGGATAGAGGGAAGTTTCATCCTCCTCACAGAACCCAAACTAACAGTATGACACGTGAAAACTGGAACAATGGTGCCCATTAGGTATACAGTTACAACCACAGAACATCTGTAATTCGCATAACATTTCCTTGTTCATCCACGGACATCGACCCTGGCTGTCAGAAATCAATAAATTCAAAGACTCATCCACTTCTGATATTCTACCCTAACAACGTCTGTCCCCCAACCCATAAGCAATAAAAAAATATTACTCACCTTATGTGCTGCCATCTCAAAGCTGCCTATGTAGTGTTCTTTATTGCAATTAATCAATAAATTTCATTTTGCTTATATCATAATAGGTGTCTCTCTTTAAAGAGAAGACTCCTTTATATGTTTCAGGGTGGAAATAATTATTTTCACAAATGTATGACTGTTTAGAGCTCTAAGTCAGCTTAGAAGCAGTCTAGTCCAACTCTCAAAATTTACTATCCTGTATAAAGAAGGTAGAAGGATTCTCCTTGAGTCAACCGAAGATTTTCTTTGAGTCAACCAGCCAGTTAGTGACTTAATCAGATGAGAACCCAAATCTTGAGATTCCAACAAAAACAGGCTCCCTTCCACCCTGACTATTGTTGTGGTTTAGTTGGATAGAGTGTCATCCTATACACTGAAAAGTTGTGTGTTCAATTCCTGTCAGGGCTCATACCTAGGTAGTAGGTTCACCCTGGTTGGGTGTTGTAGGGGAGGCAATGGCTTGATATTTCTCTCTCACATCGATGTTTCTCTCTCTCTCTCGCTCTCTCTCTCGCTCTCTCTCTCTCTCATTGGTGAATATGTCCTTGGGTAAGGAAAAAAACAAACAACCAGGCTCCTGTCCTGGCTGGTCTGACTCAGTGTTTAGAGCATCAGCCCAAGGACCAAAGGGTCTCCATAGGCTGAACTCCTGGTCAAGGGCATGTTCCTCCTTCCTCAGTTGCAGGTTCCCCGGCCCGGAGTGGGGAAGAGCACATGTGGGAGGCAACCAATTGAATTCTCTCAATCAAGTCAATGTTTCTCTTTCCCCCACCCCTTTCATTCTCTCTAGAAATCAATGCAAAAATACCCTTGGGTGAGGATTTAAAAAATATAATAATATAATAAAACAGGCTCCCTTGTTTTCATACCAAGTTCTTAGACAAAAAAAACATGTTTTAAATAAATCCCTGACTCATTAAACAAATCTTTTTTATTTCACTTTTACAAATAAAATGTTATTCTTTTTAAAAGTCCCACCAGCTAGAGTTAACTAATTCAAATAACACACATACACACAAACACACAAACACACACACACACACTCTATTTTAGCAGGGGGCAGAGGGAGAACACCCCTGCTTTTGACATATACCTGTATGGTGTGTGTGTGTGTGCGTGCCAACATGATTATAAACTTACATAAAGAATTCCATAAGTATCCATATTCATATAAAGTGTTCAGTTTTATTTTTACTTCTATTCAACTAGAGGGCAGATGCATGAAAATCATGCATGGATAGGGTCCCTAGGCCTGGCCAGCAATCAGGGCCAATCTGTGGGACCACTGGCAGAGTGATCAGGGGGCCCCCGCTGACACTCACCTTGGCCGGCCAGGCGCTGCCTGCTAGCTGGCCCCACCCCTCACTGTCACCGCAGGTTGCCTCCCTCTGTGGGGTGACCAGCGGGGTGATCACTCCCCTCTCCTCCCCCTCCCGTTCCCGCACCTGCCTTGGCTGGCCTGGGGCCTGTGGGCTGGGGGCAGCTTCTTCATTGAGCTTCTGCCCCCTGGTGGTCAGTGTGTATCATAGCGACTGGTCATTCCACCAGTAGTTGGGCTATTTGGTCAATTTGTATATTAAGCTTTTATTATATAGAATTAGAACCAGGAGTTGAATAAAAGTTTCAACTCCTAGTTCTAAAATATAAAGCCTAAAGAGCCTAAAGCGTGGTCATCTCACTGGGAAGTAGAAAAGGATGATGGTTAAGAACATGGGCTTCACCATTAGCTACAGCCAAGTTAAAACTATAGCTCTGCTACTTGGAAGAGACTTTTTAAAGCTCTCTTTATAATCATAACCTCTTATGGGTAGAAAGACAAAAAAATAAAAGCAGATGGCCTCTGCATTGGCAAAAATTTGTTAGGATCATCTGTCCAGGTTGAGGGTAGGGAGTGTGTGGGCAAATACTACTGGGAGTAAAATGATAGTGGCCATATTTAGAGCTAATATTTAGAGCTGACATATTTTAAATGAAGTCTGACTTAGTATACAATAAACAATTAATAAAAGGTAACTGTATTATTTAGCAAGAACTACCTAAAAGAATATTTTGATTCTTAAGGGCTACAAAACCCTTAGGAATCAAAATCCTGTCTCTAGAAAAAAGATAAAACAAACAATAATTGTTGCCCCCATACCTTCTACCACATCATGGAAAGAACTACTATTCCATCATGTAGCTGTTGCTTCCTTATAATATTCTTGCAAGAGATATACCAGTGGGGGCCTGGCCTGGTGTGATAGACAGGAGCTAGTGAGGTTGTGTATGGCCATGTAGCATGTTGACTACTACCACCTAGTCACAGACACAGGCTGCAAGGATGAAACTAACACATTTCCACAATTCAGAGAACTCCTGAGACCAAACAGTAAAGCTTTTGACTCTCTCAGAAAATGTAGAATCAGAATAGCCGAATCACAGTTCAAAAATAGCCATAAATAACATATCTGTCATAAACTACCTCTGCCCTCAAGAAAAAAATTCCCAGATGGGAAAAGTGTCCAGTCCTCAGAATAATGGAAGAGATCAATAGTTGGTACTGCATCCAAAATCATTCACTGTATCCAGAGAGGAGGCCTCTTTTCACTTTTCTTTCAGTGGTGGGGGGAACTAGCTGTAGAATTCACCTGGCATTAGCCATTTTCTAACTCTAGGACTTTGGGTATGTTATAGAACCTCTCTGGTTTCCTAATCCCTAAATTTAGGGAATAAAAATTGTTAGGTAATAAATAAAACGTGCTTAACATGGGATCCAGCACATAATAAGTGCTTAACACTCTATAGTCATTACTTATTTCATTCCCCAAAGACTTGATTTATGAAAGATATACCCACCTTGCAGATTATATAATACTAGAGGCCTGGTGCATTAAAATTCATGCACTGGAGGGGGCATCCCTCAGCCCGGCCTGCCCCCTCTCACAGACCAAGAGCCCTCAGGGGCGGTAGGAGACCCAGTGATCAGGGGAAGGCGATGCCCCATCACACCTCTGCTGCTGCCACTATCAGCAGCTCAAGCCTTGGCCGGCCCCAGTTACCTGAGTGTCGGGCTGGCCCTGGTTGGTTGGGCAGCCACCATCCGAGGCTTGCCTGTGCCTCAGGCCAGCCCTGGGTGGCTGGGGGGCTGAGGGGACTAGGTGCTGCCATCTTGTGACTGTGGGCACCACCATCTTTAAGGGTGTGGCAGTTAATTAGCATATTCCCTCCTTATTGGCTGTGGGTGCCACCATCTTTGCGACAGCATGAGGGTCAATTAGCATATTCCCTCTTTATTAGATAGGATTATTGTTAAGAATTATTTAAGCCAGGTACTATAATCAGAAATGTACATTTAATACAATGCATAAAAAAGATCAGATGGAATGAAGAAAGCAGTATTTTCCCTTCTTTTACCATGCTGTAGAGTACAAAGTGTTAAAAAAAATCCTTTGCAGTTTAATTATTTGTATGTAATTGGATATTGTTAATTTAATTACAAGTGACTCTTACTTATTCACTAAGGTAGTTTCTATCCTGCCTGACTTTATTAATGATTAATTAATTTCAACTACATTGGAGAAAAACAAAAGTTCACTTGATAAGTATGTCAAAATCATCCTAAGTTCCAACCTACCTTCTATACATTTGATTCTCCAAGACAGTGTTTCCTGCTCCATTAGACAGAGGGTAACAGGACACACCAAGAAGTACTGAGTCTTCAACCTCTGACATCCTATTCCCCACCCTCATACCTTGGCCCAGCCTTCAAAAAATCAATAAACTGGGTACAGTGACAGGTGTGTCACAAGATCCAATGGTGACCTTCATCTCTACTCCTTATCACCTTAATGATACTTGATACTTGTAGATGCTCCCAGTTCAAACTGGCCTGCTCACTCTTACTCACAAAAGAGATCTTCAGTATGGACATTTTACTCCCCATTTTATTCAGGGCCAAACCTCCCCACCGCTGAGGCCTGGATTCATCTGTTACTCTATGAAACTAGGATTCCCTCTGATCCCGATACCCCACAAGGAGAAAATGTGCAAAATCACTTTTCCCAGACTGTTGAGGAAAATGCCATGCAAATGCCTAATCTAAAGCACAATAAGCACCAAGCCACTTTAGAACGTTCACACTGTTGTAGAAAAAAGTCAGATTAGTTTGACAAGATGATTTCTTTTGAGTCATTTTGATTCTCCACCCTCACTCCTTTGTAATCCCCCTCAGACTGTAAAAACGAATCCTCCCATCAGTCTTGTATTCCTAGATATAAACATTATGTTGCCTGGTTTATGGCATCTGGTATCACAGGCCCTTCAGCAAGCCTCCCAGAGTTTTCAGAAGGTTTTGGTTTCAGTTAATTCCTTAAGCATCCCACAATTCAAGTCATTGTGTCTTGTAATTTATTTTATTAATCCTAAGTGTATCTTAAAAGAAAAAGATAGAAAGTAAGGAAAATAAATTAGCATTTTTGATTACAAAAGATACCTTCAAGGGCACTCTCATTTCTTGAAAGAGATCTTGCATGGCATCATAGTACTGGAGCAGGAAAAACGACAGGACGGCCCAGATTCCCTCAGAAATGGCTGGTGTCTCAGTGTCTCCTTTTAGGTGGGGCCGTGTTCAACCAGAGAGTGTAGGGGTCTGAGCCGGAGATACAGTCCAGATGTGAGAAATTGGTGTGGCCCTGAAGCAAGAGCTGGCAACCAACATGTGACAAGCCAAACCATAGCTGACTTCCAAACACCCCTCTCTAACCTCACGGCTCTCATTTTAGTCCTAATCACAATCACGCCTACCTGGACATTATAACAGAATCCCAACTAATCTCTCTGCTTCAACTCTCAGCTCCTACTGTAAACATTACCACCACACAAATCACACTGTGCTACTCCCCTGCTGAAAATCTTTTGAGGGTTTCCCATTACAACCAGGAAAAAACAAAAGTTCTTTTACATAGTATGTAAGGCTATGTATAAGCATCTGGCCTCTGCCTACTCCAACCTTCCCAGGTACCGTGAGTTCTGTTTTAATGTAACATATGCATTCCTGAAAGTGCTGTGCTCTGCAAAATCATGCAACAAAACCCACAGAGGAGCAATGCCCAAAACTTCATCAGTGGCACATTTTAAAAAGGTAGAAACTTAATAAAAATGGTAGCATAGTCTTACATTTATTTTACATTTTTAAAATGTATCTTTATTATTGAAAGTATTACAGATGTCCCCCTTTTCTTTTCCCCACTGACCCCTTCTAGCCCGCCCCTGACCCCTACCCCAGGCCTTCACCAACCTATTATCTGTATCCATGGGTTATGCATAATACATGTAAATTTACTGGTTAAACTCTCCCCACCTCCCGCCATCTCTCTGAGATTCCACAGTCTGTTCCACACTTCTATGTCTCTGCATCTATTTTGTTCATCAGTTTATTTTGTTCATTAGATTCCACATATGAGGGAGATCATGTTATACTTGTCTTTCTCTGCCTGGCTTATTTCACTTAGCATAATACTCTCCAAGTCCTTCCATGCTTTCCCAAAGAGTATGAGACCCTTCTTTTTTATGGCTGCATAATATTCCATGGTGTGAATCTACCACAGCTTTTTTATCCACTCATCTACTGATGGGCACTTGGGCTGTTTCCAGATCTTAGCTATTATAAATTGCACTGCTATGAACATAGGGGTGCATATATTCTTTCTGATTGGTGTTTTGGGTTTCTTAAGATATATATCCCTAGAAGTGGGATCACTGGGTCAAATGGCAGTTCCATTTTTAATTTTTTTAGGAAACTCCATACTGTTTTCCATAATGGCTGCACCAGTCTGCATTCCCACCAGCAGTGTTCTAGGGTTCCCTTTTCTTCACATCCTCGCCAGCACTTGTCATTTGTTGATTCTGACAAGTGTGAAGTGCTACCTTATTGTCATTTTAACTTGCATTTCTCTGATGATTAGTGACTTTGATTATTTTTTCATACTTTAAGTGGTTAATAAATGTATAGTACTACAATCAATATCTTGAATTTTGCTTGTGGAAGTGGATGCCAGAGAGTTTTAGCTTATGAATTATTGTCAAATGATGGGAGGAGGAATATCTAAAATCATTTGAGAAAGATTGTAATACCAGGGGGGATGGATGTGACTTTTATGCTCACAGTGAACTGAGGCAGCTGGTAGATGTCTGAGGTATATGCACGTGTACATTTAGTAATTTCCCACACCGCTTGGTTCAGCTGGGCATGGTTTCCTGCATTCACCTAGTGTTCCTCTCAGGCAAAATCACACATAAGCAATGCAAAATCCACGTTATGCTCAAATTGTTCCCATTCAATGTGTTGAAACAAATTTGCACTCTGAAAGCAAGCATTATAACAGGCCCACTAAACCTTCCGGGGCACACCATCCATGCTGTCCTGTGTTCAGCATCTCCATCAGGCTAAGTTTCTTCCCTTTGCACTCACAGCTCCCTCTGCTTAGACTGCTCTTCCCCACTTTTCTTCACAATTGGTTTCATTTCATCCTTCTGGCCTCAGTTTCAATGCCACCTCTTCAGAGAGCCCTAGCCTGAGATTATCCTCCCTAATGTAGACCTCCACTCTCATTATTCTCTTTCCCAGAATCCATTTTTTCCATTCCTTTAGAGCTTCTATAATGAGAGGAAAATAACTAATTTATTTGTCTTTGTTGTTATCTCTCTTCCACTAGAGAGTAGGCTCCATGAGGTCAGGGAGCCTTGCCTCTTGACACTTTTTAATGGCCTGGCCCTGGCAGGTACCGTGCTCAGTACAAGCACAAGGTGTAGGCACTTAGTATATATCACTTAAATGAATAAAAGGATGAATGAATAATTATAGCTATACAAATACCAAATATATCCAACAGGCTTTCACAGAATGGCCTTATTAACAATGCCTTTATGATACTTACTCTGTTAAACCCCTTACAATTTAGCTCTTACTCAGATTTAATGCTCTCATTAAAAAGAGCTTGAAGGGAACCAGTACAAAATTAAATATTTTAAAAAAAGAATGTGAAAGAGAATTCAAAAAAAAGATTATTGACTCACACAACACAAATATAACAACAGAAGAAAAAAATGAGACTGACAAAACCGAGGACTCACTCATGCTCCTTAAAAAACTGGACTCTAATCCCATGATGGTAACAGAAAAGTCTCATATTTGACAAGTGAGTAAACAGAGATTAAGGATTTGGTGAGGCCCTTATTACAACTCCATGTCTAGTTTTAACATCCATCTTTTAAGTGGAATCTGGAGAAACTGTGTAGGACCTACAAAGAATCACGTGAATAAGATTAAATAGTCACTATAAAGACAAGCTAAAAGCTACTTAGAACCTTCCGTTTACACCTTCTGCATCACAAAAAAAGAATTGCCACTAAAATGTCTGCATGTCTCTTAATACAATTTTTCCTTCTTCTATGGCAGTAGAACCCTTAAGTTCTAGCAGGGGCTCCATTCTTGATCCTCCCTTATAGCTGTGTGTGATGTGTGACCATGGGGCAAAATTCTGGCTAATGAGATGTAAAGAGCTATTTTCAGTTCATTGCATGGCAACTTTCATAAATCTTCCCTAAGATAAAGCACTGTCTTACCCATTTCCTTGTTTTCATTCATTCTTTCATCTTAGAATGTAGGTGTAACATCTTGAGCTCAAGTGGTCACAGGATGACCTTGAAGATATAGGTCATGGTCAAAGAAGCAAGACAGAAATAGCCTGGGTTTCTGTAGATTTAGTGGAACAGGACAACCATAGCACCATGAACTGTCTCACTGTAACACTTTAATATGACAGGGAAAATGTGTGTCTACTTTAAGTGAATTTTATTTTAGATTTTAATTTTAACTAGTAAGTCACAGAAGTAAATGTGCCCACATTTCATATTTACAGATCAGTTAAAGAAGACACTGTCCTAACCAGTTTGGCTCATTGGATAGAATGTTGGCCTGTGAACTGAAGGGTCCTGGGTTTGATTAAGGTCAAGGGCACATGCCCACATTTCGGGCTCAATCCCCAGTAGAGGGTGTGCAGGAGGCAGCCGATCAATGATTCTCTCTCATCATTGATGTTTATATCTCCCTCTCCCTTCCTCTCTGAAATTAATAAAAATATATTTAAAAAAGAAAAGAAAAGACTTACCCATTCTTAATGGGTGCCTTCAGTTTAAAAAGCCGGCTTCAGCCCTGAGTGGGTGCCTCAATTGGTTGGAGCATCACCCTGTACACAGATGGCGGGTTCAATTCCTGGTCAGGGCACATAGCCAGGTTATAGGCTTGATCCCCTGTTGGGATGCATATGAGAGACATTTCTCTCTCTCTCTCTCTCTCTCTCTCTCTCTCTCTCTCTCTCTCTCTTTTTTCCTCTCTCTCTAAACTCAATTTTAAAAAAAACACATATCCTCAGGTGAAGATTTTTTAAAAAGTCAGGCTACATGGGCATAGCCAGAGAATGAGAATGAGAAGTTGAATTGCATTGCCTAATCAAGTGCTAGGAATTTGGGGATTTACAAGGGAAATCCTGAGGGAAAATGGGGAGACATGAAGAGAGACAAGAGAAACTCCCATAATTGAAAGCAAGGGTCAATGGAAATTCTATGATAGTTACTCTAAAGTTGTCCTCCTCCACTATCAATAATTGCCCTCCACTTTCTCCAAACCTCCAGTAAAAGATGTCTGTGTCCATGGAGTTTGGAAACATGAAAAAAAGAGGGAGGGTGGAGCTGAGTAGGCAAGGGTAACAGCTTCAGGTGCTGAAAGCTAAGATTATTGCTGGTAAAAATTTCAAAGCATCTCTCAGAGTGGAACCACTTAGAACAGTGGTCTCGACCTTCCTAATGATGCAACCCTTTAATACAGTTCCTCATGTTGTGGTGACCCCCAATTTCATTGTTACAAATTGAACATAATTAAAGCATAGTGATTAATAACAAAAACAATATGTAATTATATATGTGTTTTCTGGTGGTCTTAGGTGACCCCTGCGAAAGGGTCGTTCGACCCCCAGGTTGAGAACCTCTGACTTAGAAGATAATAAATGTCTCTTACCTAAAACATAGACATTTCTGTTAAGGGCTTGATGGACATCTGCAAAGGATAGAGTTAGGGGCTCAATGTTATAGGAAAGAAGACATCAGACTCTGGAAGACTTGGAAACATCCAGGCTAAAGACCTTTGAGCTGCATAATATAAAAAAAATCCTCTTTCTGGTCTACATGGTGACTCTTATCTCTCCTTCAAAATTGTGCTTCAACCTCACCTTTATTCAGAGATTATTCCTAATCCTCTTGCATAGAATTAATAAGCCCCACTTCCACAGTCACAGTATCTGAGACAGTTCTCTACTGTTGCTCTTTTCCATGGTGAACTATTTCAGACCATGCTATCTCATATTTGTTTTATCTTTGGTGCTTAACACATAGTTAATACTCCCAAAAAAGCTTTAGAGAATTGAATTGACTCATGAGTTTTATAATAAAAACAACCTCATGGTAGAAACCTTAAAGGTATTCTTCATAAATCTTTATTTTGCAAGTAAAGAACCTAAGAACTGGTGAGATTAACTGAGTTTCCTAAAATCAACCAGCTAAGAACAGACAGAACACAGACTAGAACCCAGATCTTTAGATCCTAAATTACTCATGGTTGCCATGGCATTATGTTCACTGATATGAGGGCAAAACACCTCAGGAAAACCTGGAAAAATATGTAGATATTTTGAGCTCTCTCCCAAAATAAGTTTCTATTTTTCTGTATGTCAAATGAAGCTGCATCTATTTGCTTCAAATTTGGGGAAAGAAAAGCATGAAATTTGTGCTTCCTGTTTTCAAGATTCATTGTAAGTGTTGAATATAAATAATGAGGTAGATTTAGCAATGTACAAATAAAAGTATAGGTGCATCAGCCCACCTGGGGATCAAAAATTGCAGAGAAAAGTACATTTTTTTTCAAATTAAATATTGTTATATGATCCTGACTCAAAAAAGGGAAAGAATTTGAATTAAAAAAAGGCAATGCAGTATACATAATTGAATTATTTTATCCCCCGTGCATAGAAACACACTTGAGCTGTTTCCCCAGCTCTTCATATTCACCACATCTCATTTTATGTCCCTTATTTTTTTCTCCATTATTTTTCCTCCTTTCCTAAATCCACTCAATCATTTATTGGCTTGTTGGTGCTCCAACATGCTTCTTCTATGCTTTACTATCTCCCTCTTTTCAAAGATAAATGCCTCACCCCTGGGAAATAGATGCCTCTAATTAGTATTAAAAACCAAAGTTTATGCCTGCCTTTGATGTTTTCTAGAATGCATTTTGGTGAATAATAATATTCTCAAGTCAGCACCATTCAACACAATCAAAAGTCAGCTTAGTGAAGATATTCTCTCAGTTATTCATCATATCTTCATCCTAAGCATGCATGTTAAGTGAAATGAAAGAAGTGGATTCTGATATTAGAAAGTCTCTCTTTCACAAAACACACCTCTATGAGCTAATGTTTTGGAGAAATGGGGACCCCAATTTTTAAAATCTGAATAAAATTTCAAATATTGAAGAAAAATAAAAGTTGAGGATAGAGAAGAGTGGCATCAGCAAGGTGATGGAATAAGAGTTTTCTACCACCATCCCCTCACAGCCCATAGATCAACCACACTCAGACAAGAATACTTTTGTGGAAGCTCAAGAATATGGAGGTAATCAACACAGCTAGTTAAAGGATTGATTGAGGCTGGAAACATAGCAACCAGGGCTCAAAACTTAACAAAGGGCTACAAATCTTATTAAGTGCTTCACAGATTCCATCAAGAAACCCGCCCATGAGTTACCAGAGATGCCTCGCCTGTGTATCCTGCAAACTAGCCCCCAGGAACACCTAATGCTCAGTCCATCCCACTTACCACCCCACTCACCTATGGCTAGTTCTCCATGAGCAACCCTGTGGATTGCAAGTAAAAGAATTTGCCAACAGATCACAAGCACATGCAGAAACTAGCCCGGCTGTGGGATTGGGAGAAAGCATAAAAATTTGAGCAATTCAGGGCATTGCCCAGGAAAAATAAATGAGAGACTCTGAGCACCATACTGGCTCTGCAATATCAAGAGAATCATACAACCTTAAGAATCCCTCCACCAAGATGGAACAAGAAGTGTGGAATGGCTGCATCTATAAAAAAAAGTTTTGAGAAAGCCTCAGAATCCCTAGCGAGGATTATTGGTGAAGCTACTTCTGTCCAAAAGTCAGTCAGTAAAGACTGGAAGAGGTGACTGCTTCTTCAGATGCAAAGATAGCAATGCAAGATTTAAAGAAACATTTCAAAGCAAGGAAACATGGCAATACCAAAAGAACAAAATAAGTTTCCTGTAACCAACCCCAAAGAAATGGAGATAAATGAATTGTGTAACAAATAATTCAAAATAATTATTTTAAGGAAACTCAGAGAGCTACAAAAGAAAATAGACAACTCAATGACTTTAGGAAATCAATATATAACCAAAATGACAAATTTAACGAAGAGCTAAAAATCATTTTAAAATAAGCCAGAAATTCTGGAGCTGAATAATGCAATAAATGAAATAAAAATGCAGTAGAGCATCAATATCAAATTTGATCACAGAAGAAAGAATCTCTTCACTCCAAGACAAGTCATTTGAAATTATCCATGGGAGAAAATAAAAAAGAAAAAGTAAAGAAAGCCTATGGGATGTATAAGACATCATTAAATATCTACTATATGCATTATGCGAGTACCAGAGAAGAAAAGAGAGAGGGGAGCAGAAAACTTATTTAAAGTGAAAAATAGCTAAAAACTTCCCAAATCTAGGGAGAGATATAAATATCTAAGTACATAAAGCTAAAAAATATACAGATTCAACCCAAGTAAGACTTCACTGAGACGCATAATCCAATTGCCCTACATCAACGACAAAGAGAATACTCTGCAGGCAGCAAAAGAAAAGAGAAGCATAACATACAAGGGAATCTCCATAAAGCTTTAGGAAATTTCCTGGCAAAAACCTTGCAAGCCAAGAGAGAGTAGGATGTTATATTCAAAGTACTAAAAGAAAAATAACTGTCAACCAAGAATATTTTACCCCACAATGTTATTTTTACAAGTGAAAGATAAAGATTTTCTCAGACAAAATCTGAGAGACTTCATCACCACTAAACCTATGTTACAGGAAATGCTAAAAGGGGTTCTTCAAGCTGAAGCAAAAAGAAGCTAGTTAGTAACATGAATGCTTATGGAAAGTGTAAAACTCATTGGTAAAAGTATATATATATACTCAAGTTCAGAATACTCTAATATTATAAGGGTGGTGTATAAATCACTTATAACTTAGGTATGATGGTTAAAAGACAAAACTATTAAAAATAACTATATCTACCATACTTGCAAATGTAAATATAATATAAAAAGATGTAAATTGACATCAAAAACATAAAATGTGGAGTAGGGAAATAAAAGAGTACAGTTTTTATATGTGATCAAAGTTAAGTTGTTATCACCTTAAAATAGAGTACTATAACTATGAGATGTTTTATGAAAGCCTCATTTTATGTAACCAAAAGAAAAACCCTATAGTCAATACACAAGAGACAAAGAGAAAACAATCAAAGCATGACCCTATCAATAATTATCAAATCACAATGGAAGACAACAAGCAAAAGAAAAGAACAAAGGAACTAAAACAGCCAGAAAATATCAACAAAATGGCAACAGTCCTTATCTATCATTAATTACTTTAAATGTAATAGATTAAATTCTTCAATTAAAAGACATAAAATGGCTGAATGAATTTTAAAAAAACAATAATCAATGATATGCTGTCTACAAGAGACTCACTTCAGCTACAAAGACACACAGATGTTGAAAGTGAAAAGATGAACCCTAGCTGGTTTGGCTTAGTGGATAGAGCATTGGACTGTCAACTGGGTTCGATTCTGGTCAAAGGCACATGGTCCGATTGTGGGCTCATTCCCCAGTGCAGGACACAGCCGATCAATGCTACTTTCTCATCATTGATGTTTCTATCTCTCTCTCCCTCTCCCTTCCTCTCTGTAATCAATAAAAATATATTTTAAAAAAAGAAAGTAAAAAGATGAAAAAATATATACTCCATTATAATGGAAATCAAAAGAGACCAAGAGTAGCTATAAATATACTGGACAAAATAGATTTTAAGTAAAAAACTGTAACAAAAGATAAAGAAGATCATTATATAGCTAGTGGCCTGGTACACGAATTTGTGCACATTGAAAGGAAATTATTCAGAAGAAATATTTTAATATCACTATTCTCCCTTTCTCTATAAAGAAGTCTCAACCAAATTCACAATTGGCAATGACAGAACAAAACACATGAATGCAATTGGTGCCAGCAAAAGCTTTACATGTATCGCTGTGTATCCTGAGTTAATTTAGCCTTTTATAGATATACAATAAACTTGCTTAATTAGACCTGCTTTCTGATTTAGATAAACTTTTTCCAGCCCAGTGAAGCACCTCAACTTCTCTTTTAGGTAATTGTCTGCAACACAGCAGTATATATCAACACAAACCAGATTATTATTGTAGATCACGCAGGGAGAACAAAGAGTAAAATATTTAACTGCAGCAGTGTTTGACTATATTCTATGCAGTGAGAAAACCTGATGTCATTTTCAGGGCCCACCATTTCTTACTTCTTTTCAGTCGGGTCAACTTTCTAAGCTTTCTAAATCTCCATTTTCTGGCTAATGAAAAGAAAATAGGATTTCACTAAGTTTCCTATCTACCTACTCCAGGACTTCTGTGAAGATCAGATGAGAAGAGGCTTGGGAAAATGCTTAACAGACATTTGGTTGAAGTGTAAAGTGTTTCCACCTGGCTAAAAAGCAAGTTGTGTTTCTGGGGTGAAGAAACTGCAAGC